CAGCCTCAGCTCAAAGGCTTTTTCACTTTGAAAGAATAGAAGGAAGGAAGAAAGAAGCAGAAAATATATTAAAATGAGAGATTTTACATTAGTTATGTGATCCCCCGGGAGCAACCATAAAATTATATGGCTTTTTTGTAGCCATTTACTATTCAATATAAAAAGGGTAGTTGCCATAACAACCACTGCATCATATGACATCTGATACCTTGGCGAAACAGGGAGTGCTCTTAAATCAACTCCCCAAATTTCATATGAAAGTAAATACATTTTACTGGTGATTTTAAGGCAAGCTTGCATTGCGACAAGCAATGTGGTACCATTACCCTGCTAAGCTTTTGGCCTCTGGGCCCAATCCTGCAAACTGGCAAATGTCTTCAGGCCCTGAGGCCGACATTACTCAGCAGTGTGTGAGATTAGATGCTGAAGGAGTATGTTTTCCTAAGTAAAATTAAATGGAAGGAGCGAATGACACTATTTTTTTTTGACATTTGTTGCTGACTGGGGAGTGCCAAAAAAATAAAGAAGTTGAGCTGCATTACAGCTTAAGTTCCAGCTGCCAACTGTGTGATCAGCACAAAGGAGGGAGATGGAGGGGCGGGGGGGGGAAGTTAAAAAAGAAATGTTTGTGTAAGCTCACATTTGACTTTGGAGTTCATCTCTCTCTCGCAATCTGGTCCGCATGTGCGACGTTGAGGGGGTAGAAGTGACATCACCCTGGAGATCCGCGCTGGCTCCTCTCCGGCCAGCACCGAGGGAGTTACGCGGCGGCGCGGGGTGGGGGGTGCGTGGGCAGGGGGAGGCACCCGTGTGCTCCAGGCTGTGCGTGGTGGTGCCCACCCCGGGGGGGCGAGAGCTCTGAAGGGTTTCCCAGACCCTAGAGGAGCGGTTTGGGTCTCACCCGGCGCAGCCCGAGGCGGGACCCCGCCGCAGCGCAGGTGGTTCATTACAGCCTTTTGGTGCCATCCACACTGGTGCTCTTGAAGAAGGCTGCTGTTACCCACATGGGGATTTTTTATGAAGCCATTTTGTTTCTTGAAAATGTGTATTTTCCAGGCAGAGACAGCGCTTGGGTGGTGGTGGTAGGAGTTGGCATCCCCACAGGAGTCTGTGTTGGGTTGTTGCGCCAATATCCACTTCCTAAATTTGGGGTTGTCCATCTAATTTGAGGATTCTGGTTGGGATATCTGTTTGATTTACCTTTTTTTTTTTTTTTTTTTCCTAATTTTTTTAATACATAAAAGAAATTGTACTTGTTAGACTCCTAAATGTGCCGCCATTTCATGTAAGCTGAGCTGTTTCTTTCATAGGCATGTAGATGATCACCAAGTTGCAGGGAGAGGTTTTCACTTACTACACCAATGTACCTCAGTGCTGCTCAAGAAACACTGTTTTTGAGTTTCCTTTACTAATTTTGTATCCTTGTTCTTTGTCACAATAAAATTCCCCTCTAACCAAGACACCAGTAACTATATTCAGTGTCAAGACAAGGCAAACATCGTTCATTTTTTAGTAGCTAATCTATTTCAAACTACCTATATTTTATACCAAAAACAATTAAAAAATATGTGTGATGGTGTCTGACACTGACTTAATCTCTCCATGTCCTTGCAATGAAAAATATAAGTTCAGGAAAATATAAAGTTACTGTTTAAGCATCCTCTTTGCGGCTCAGCACTCCTACATCATTATCTGTCCTGCTCAGTGCTGCTGCTGAAGCTCTGCCTGCTCAGCACCAACCAGCAGCAGCCGTGCTCTGTCCTGTCAATTAAAATACTTCTCATTTTTGACACAATTCTTTAAGTTAATCTTTCCACTGATGTTCGTCATCGGAGTGGAATTTACATTTGTTTTGTGTATTTTTAGCCAGTGACTAGTTTTCCACAGCAGCCTTGAAAACTATTTAGCCTGAATTGTTGGCATTTCACTTTGCACAGATGCAGTGTTTTGCTGCTAAGGGTTGGGAAGCTTTTTTGAAAGATTTGTAAGGTTTCTGAATGCACAAGGCTTACACCAAGTGCGAGTAAGGAGGATGTGTGTGCAGACACAGCCTCTGTACATGAGTTCTTGTTTACAAGCCTGTGAAATGTTGGCTGTGAGTATGCAGAGAGTGGTCGTTGCCCCCCCAAAGAGATGTGAGAACTCACCCATGCAGCAAGCAGAGGGAGGCCCTCTGACACTGCGCCACAACTTCCCATTTTCATCCCCAATCTGACATGCTGACCACTCTGCCAAATAGCTGAAGGGATTTTTGTATTTCATCATATGAGAACGGCGTATTTTTATGGGGCTTAGCTTTGCTGGACACGGACTTGATGAAGTTAACCGCAGCACTCTGTGGTTTTCACATCTATTAATCATGTTTTGTGCCCAGTGATGGCTGTTTGGCTTTGATCTGGCACATCTCAAGGGGGTCTCCTGTCATGGTTGTGCACTCAAAGAAATTTGGTGCTTCCCAGTGGGTACTTACACTAAGACACATGGGCAAATATTCACTTTGGTGTAAGGGACAGAAATGTCCAACCTTGTAAATGAAGTTGCTAAATTGAACCATTTAGGGTTTCCCCCTGCAAACACCCTGCAGATATCAAGCAGTTCACGATGAACCTCCAGGCAGGTTTGCAGCCACAACTGTAACCTTGAGAAATCCTTTCCTGCCTGTGTCTCTCAGGCTCCAAAAAGTAATGTCTTGTTTGTTGTAGAAATTGTTTGGATGCCTTGGGTTTAAAGATGTTATTAAATAAAAAAATAAATTTAAGGGTGTCATTATAGCCCAGTGGATACTGATTTGGAGAGGGAATACAGACTGTTCATTCAGAGCATATTGAAATTTGGACATTTAATTTCCCCTTGGAAATCTCAGTTTAAGATTATTTTCTTTGTCCTGTTGTTGACTTGCTCTGACTCTGGGGACAAGTCACCCGTCCTTGCTAGACTTCGGCAGGCAGGGACAGGCAGTGAGGAGAGCTTAGCACACCCCAGCTTCTGCTCCAGACAATCATTATTTATCAGCTTGGCTCAACTCTTAATTATTGAAAATTAAAATGCCCTTTTTTATAAAAGGCTTGGCCCTCTGGCGTTATTCATCTTGGCTTTGTTTTATGAGTGGCTGATACATGAAAGCAGAGAAAAGGCTTCAAAACCAAACCTGAGCCGACCCTCTCAGATCTACACCCTGCACATCAACAGCCACAAAGTGGTTAAGAGACTTGATGCAAAGCTGATAAAATGCCAAAAATTCCTCATTCTCTCTCTTGGGGAGCAGGGAGGGTTGTCTGGAAAATGTCAACAATAAAAATTGCATTTAAGTGGTATATAATGCAGTCAGCTACTGTGGGCAGAGTTACGTACAGCCAGACGAAGGGGTTTAAAGAGCACGAGCTCCATACGCTGCCTTCCATCCCAGTTGGAGTAGACAGAGCAGTGCCGCTGCTGCGAGCTCTCCTCGGCACGGACGGGTGTGAAATAGAAAGGGTTCCTGATCACAAAATCAAATCATGGAGCAAATGTCATCTGTTTCTTCATAATTCTCATTTAAAAATGGCTAAATCCACAATTAGTGTAAACTGATGCTGCTCTCCTGCATTGTGTACATCTATCTGTCCATCCATCTGTCGGTCCATCCATCCACCCACCCATCCATCCATCCATCCACCCACCCATCCATCCATCCATCCACCCATCTATCCATCCATCCATCCATCCATCCATCCATCCATCCATCCATCCATCCATCCATCCATCCATCCATCCATCCATCCATCCATCCATCCATCCATCCATCCATCCATCCATCCATCCATCCATCCATCCACCCACCCACCCACCCACCCACCCACCCATCTACCTGCCACCAGATGAAGACATCACCCATTTCAGTCCTCCCTACTTGGCCCTTTGCCTGTGTCTCCATCGGGGATGGACGTGTCCTTGGGAGCTGCTTTGGGCACCCCAGGAAGGGGAGGGGTGTCAGCCTGGCTGGGGATCCCCCTCGCCTCTAGGACCAGCTGGGCTCAGGGAGGGCAGACTCAATTAGCCAATTTGGGAGAGGGGAGAAGAGATTGAAATAGGTCATGCCAAGAAAACAACAAGAAAGCAGTATTTCTTTGCCCAATAAAAGGAATAAAGACTTTTTTTTAAACCCTCCCAGTTCTTAAAAGAAATTCCATTTCTCAAAACCATTTTCATCTGTAGCATCTGGGCACATTCCTTTGTGGAAGATGAGTGCTGCGGGGCCAGGCTGGGATGGGCAGCCCCGCTCGACCCCTGATGCCCCGTCAGCACAGCCCTGTGCTGGCCTGAGCCCGGGCTGTGCAAAATCCGCAGGATCTCAGCGCTTCCTCACCTCCCCTACCCCCCTCTGGAAAAAACAGTGTTTGGCCGACTCCTGCCTCACACTCGCAGAGACTCAAGAAGAGGGCAGAAGCTGCAGGGTGTCTGCGAGAGGTGCTCGGACCCATGAGGAGCCACTCCACAAACAGGAGGGAAAAAAAAAAAAAATCTCATCTTTTGTAGTTTTCTTTTACCAGAAGATAAAAGAAAAATAGCTTTTTTTTTTTTTTTTTTTTCCTGTGGTTTGTGTGATTTTTTTTTTGCCTCCGCTAAACTGTATTTTTCAGCTTAGTAAAGTATTTATTAGGAATCTTTATGGACCAGTCTGCTGGTGAATTATATATATTGTACAGCTTCAGCATGAGCTGAGAAAAAAAAATTTATGACTTTTTTTCCACCCAGACTGACTCTATCCAATCGCAGTAAGAAAAATGAAGGTTTACCAAGAAAGCTTTAAGTTCAGTTCTGCTTGCCAGAGCAGCAGATACCTTTTCTGTCTCGATTCATATGCATTTACATAATGCAATTTTCTCAGCTAATGTGAAAGCCAAGCTAAATCTCAGCACTAGTGGGCTTTTGTGTCCTGCTAGTAAAGTCTGTCTTGTCTTTTTTTTTTTTTTTAAATTTTTTAAATTGGATTTCTCACTTTAGCATCAATTGTTTTTCAGATCATTCTTAATTCAATGCATAAATACCAACCACGACTGCATATTGTGAAGGCTGACGAGAACAACGCTTTCGGGTCGAAGAACACAGCCTTCTGCACCCATGTTTTTCCAGAGACGTCCTTTATATCGGTGACCTCCTACCAGAATCACAAGGTAGGGTACTTTTCTGGCTAAAAGTGCTTAATTTCTGTTTGGGGGCTTTTGCAACTCGCAGCCCTCTGCTGCCGCCGGCTGCAAAATGATCTTCCAAATTCTTCCAAATTGCAGCGGCGCAGCGATGTTGCTGCGGTCCTGTGCTTTGATGAGCAGGATCTGTTTGCTCGGAGGGAGGGGGAGAGCCTATTATGCTGCTATTGTGCAGCAGAAAATGCCTGCTTTAAAAGAGAAGTTTCCATCCCTGCAAGCATTAAGCAAGAGTGACGAGCCAGAGGATGCAGCTAAGGAGCAGCCCGAACATTGTTGGGTAACAATATCTTGGCAAACCCTGTGAGTCCAGACACTAATGAATCGGCGTGCTCATAAACGCTAAGATGTCATTCAAACCAGCAAGCAAATCTAATAATGACTAGTAAAGCTTGCTCATAAATCTACAGTGAAAAGTAATTATAGTGTGTGTATTTAGTGAGACATACGAGGAATGTAACCATAAAAACACAGCTAAGAGCCTGCTCTGTGGTTAGCACATGAAGGCAGGAGGGGGTTTGGGGGTTTGGGTTTGTTTGAGAGGAAATATAAAGTACAAAGGGCTTGGTTCTGCACTTTGGGTGTGTGTCACAGATAACCCCGTATTGCAGGGTTTGCCTCCTCTTCTTTTTTGAGTGTGTTGGTGGTGGTGAGAGTGAGTAGCGTTCTGTCTGAGGGATTTTACCAACCTGGGTTACTAGCAGGATGGACAGCAACGTGACAGCTAATTGTCACCTCCCCGTGACAGCAGGTGCACTGTGACAGGCAGGGAGAGGAGAGGATGCCAGGCAGGGGACGGCAAGGCTCCGTTTTCAGTCCTGCTACTGGTTTGCCTGCCTTTGCGCAAGCTCTGCTCCTCTGCAGTTTTCCTAGTGGTGAAGTCTGACTGCAGCGTTGTATGAGGATTAACTGGGGTTTTTAAAGTAGATCAGGATTCATAAATAAAGATGTGGAGTGAAGTAGCACTGCCGGAGCCGTCCTGTCACCCTGAATGTGAAATCTGCCATGTGTTACTGTATCAACTCCTTTTCTACACATTCATAGGAAAATACTACAGGAACAGGAACATATGTGAAATTCCTTCTCCCCAATAATCTGACCAGACCTTTTCCTCCCAAGCAGGATGCCTGTATACCCTTTGATGCTTGAAGCATAGAGTCCTTGCAAGATTTTGCAATTAGTGAGCCAGTTAAAAGAGAGCAGAAACATGGATGTGTGTGTTATGCTAAGACAGGGGGGAAAGAAAAAAAGAAGTCCCTATTTGGACACTGAAGTGAATCCTGTTTGAAAAGTTGTAGCTATTGGTGTAAAATGACCAGTTGCCCAAACATGGTTAACCAAAAAGGCTCGAAAGAGCTTATTTAATACCTACTTAAAATGTCTCGTGTGTCAATAGTGCCTTTCATCCCTAAACTTCCCAAAGTGCTTCATAAACTTAGCACTTCCACTGTCATTGCCGTACAACCACTGCTGGGGGGAGGCTGGTAGCTGGGTGGCAGCACAGAGTGGACCTGACAGATTTAGGGAAAACGCCCCAGATGAGCCCCAATTCTTTTGTGCAGATCCTGCGAGGAGCCACCCCGGTACAGCTACCTCTAAGTACAGCTCGGTGAGGAGGATGTAGGTGTTTACCCCAAACTTCCTCCTGGGTTGGATGAAGCCAGGGGAAGGTGACAAGAAGGGACTGAAGCCCTGATTCTGCTCCTGTCAGAGGAAGACCATGGTCACTAATTGACAAAATTAAATGAAGATGTACAAACGTGATGTCGGGCTGTGGGCTAGGAGGGGACCTATGCTTCTCGTGGTCCCTCAGCTGACTGGGAGCTCCCCTGGAGCCACTGTGGGCAGAAAAGCTCGAGCCCTCAGGGCTGGTTAAATTCACATGTCACCGCCTTCCTTCTCCATCACAGATACTGGCCAGCTGTTCTCTCAGGAGTTTTTTGGTAAGGGATATTTTTCAACGTTGCTAATAGTGTAGTTGCTAGCGCAGAGCCACACTCTTGCAAAATCATCCCAACACAGAACTCACTTGTTATCCTCACCACTAAAATCGGACGCGGGCCAGTGCAAGCCCGTGGCTGGCTAGCGGCGGGGAGGAAGGCTGCACCGCCTCGGGCAGAGGACCCGAGGGCAGTGGGTCTGCAGGGAGACTCGTGTCCTCACCTCCCCACTGGTGTCCTGCCTGGAAAAGGCCTTTTCCATGATCATTGGGTGCTCAAGGAGATGGTCCTACCCACTGGCACGACCCACTTAGTACGGAAGGACAACGCTAAGACCCGTTTCTGACCGGTTCTCTCCGCGATACGTGTTAGACCCATCTGTGACCTTACATCAACGAGCCTTGGGTGTGTGATTGTGCCCAGACACATGTACATCTCTTTGGCGGGTGGACAAGGGATATTTTTAGGAGCTCCCACGTCCCTACAAATGTTCTGGTGCTGTTCTGGCATCTTGCAGCGCCTGAGACCTGCTCAGATGATCTTGTTCACTACCTGTCTGCATTTACAAAATCCTTTTTTAAAGAGGTGATTTATTTTAATCTTTCACTGGACAGCCAAGTACATCTTCCTGGTGCTCCTGACTGTTGTATGGCTTTGGTTTGTACCTGCCTTATAAAGGGAAGGAATCAGGTGGCAGGATTAGCAAGGGAAAACTATATTTACTGAGGCTGTAAGGCAGATGAACTACTGAATATTTTTAAAGGAAATTTCACACATATTTTTTTTTTAGCAGAATTTTCATGAAATGGCAGAGCTTTAACAGCTCCCTTACAAAAACTGAGCTCCATCAAAATTAAGCCTAGTCTAAGTCAATTCTAAGGCATTTTGATCCTTTTAATACACTGCAGCTCCTGGTGGGAAAGGCAGCTCTTGAAAAAGGCAGCAACCTGCCCTTGCCCAAAGGCAATTCACTATTTGAGCTATGAGTCTTTTCACAGAGGAAAAAACACTGAATGAAAAATGTAAAGATATATAAAATTGTTATGGAAATGAGGGAGAGCCACACCATAAGGAATAGGGGCCTCTAATATGGAGTCATGGGAAATCTTCTTTTAAATCAGACAAACATATTCTCGATAACAAGAGCTCAGAATAAGAACCCAGGACCCAGACTTCAGGAAATTTGCATTCCTGTTCTCATTCACAGTCAGCAATTTTGTCCGCTTTAAAAGCTGCTTTTGCAAGATCTAGCACAGCTCAGTGTCTCTCTCAGTGCTGAATGCAGAAACGCCATCTCTGCCCCTGTGTCTTTCACGGCAGAAACTCTCGTGGACTCTGCATTTTGCGGGGTGTCGCGTGGGACAGGGCACCTGGAGACTTGCAGCCTCCGACCTGCGTTTGCAAACGCTTTATGCTTGGTTTCATTCTTTTAAAGATAACCCAGCTGAAAATTGAGAACAACCCCTTTGCCAAGGGATTCAGGGGGAGCGACGACAGCGACCTGCGCGTGGCACGACTGCAAAGGTACGGCCGGGCGGCGCGGGGAGGGACGGCGGCGAGGACGCGCTCGGCGGGGCCGGGATGCTGCTGCAGTGTGCACGCGTGTGCAGGCGTGTGCAGGCATGTGCAGGCATGTGCAGGCGTGTGTGCAGGGGTGCACTGAGCCCAGGCAGCGCCTCCGACATGCAGCCGGGCCCGTGCCCTGTGCAGAAATAAGCCTTACAGCTGGGCTTTCATCCTCATTCTGCTGCTGATTTGCTGCACCTCTTTGGAGAAGAACTTAAATGGTGCCTAAGCATTTGGGGGCATCACATTTTCTTGTGCTTGAAGACCTTAGGGCTTTTAATGCCATTTATACCCCTGAAAAGCTCTTCCTGTACTTTGGTGACACACTCTGTGTGTTGTCATCATACTTGCCCACACCCAGCAGTGTGTGAGGAGTATGAGTTCACTGTATTTGGCAAAGGGTGTTGAAGTCATTGGACGGAGATGCTCCAGGGAAGCCAAACTAATATTTCACTCTCCTGTTAACGCTGATTGCTGTCTAACTGGTAATCATTTTTCTCACCTCTTTTAGCAAAGAATATCCAGTAATTTCCAAAAGCATCATGAGGCAGAGGTTGGTGTCCAGTCATGGCCAGCTTTCAACAAAGCCAGATGTTAATCCACTTCATGGGAATCACCAGACCCTTCAACATTATCAGTATGAGAACGGTGCTCACATGCAATTTGCGGCTTCAGATACTCAAGATCTGCCACTCAACACCTTCACAGCACAGAGAGATTCAGGGCTCTTCTATCATTGCCTAAAAAGAAGAGGTAACTCAAGTTTACAGCTAGAAAAAATATTACAGAAAATAAACCTAAGAGCATGAGCACTAGAAGCTTACTGCTAATTCCAGTTCATTTTGGATCGGTCTCTTAGGCCTTGATCTTCAAAGATACTGATGTGATCAAAGTGTTTTGGAGGGTCAGGGCCCAAGAGCTGGGTTTCTGGGTGGTTATTAGTGGGTTTGTCCCATAAAAGGAAAATTCGCTCTTGAGTCAGAGCTGAAAAAAAATAATCAGAATGAATAATTCAAATGGCACAAAGCTACGTTGGAAAATAGTCCGTTGTTAGAATCAGCTGAACTAATAGTAGTTTGGAGGAGGCCTTATCTATCCTGAGATGTTCTGACATTAATGAAGTTATACACATTCAGCACTTTTCCAGGATGAAGCCATTAGCAATTCTCTTAATGTCTGCAGATTAGTGGGACTGTGGTAGCTGGGTGTAAGCATCCCTTCCTTCTTATCCACTCATTCTCAAGTTTAAGTGAGCTGTAACTACATTCTCTTCTTTTTAGTCCTTCATTGGATGAGATCATGGCATGCTTTAAGCTAAGCGGAAAAATTTTGCACAGAAGAAAAAATCCTTCTCTTTGCATGTCTCATTGGCCACTAATTTATTTAAGCTGTGAGAATCCTCTGATCATGGGCAAATGAAAAATCTAACAGCACCAGTAATGAGGACTGCAAGGCAAATGTGTAATTTTAGCAGATGTTTAATCTGCAGATGAATTCACTAATTCATCCAGAGAATATTCCTAACAACTAACATAAAGCTGCTGGTAAACACGGCCACGGCCATTTTAATCTGTAGGAGAGGGGCTACAGCTTCCCAGTGTAAAGCTGAGGGGAAGGACTGATGACTGGGAAAGGGCTCCTTTATCTGGAAATATTTCTGCAGCTTTTGACATGAATATCTGGGAAATGTATAGTCATTTTTGTAACAACAGGAAGGCAGGCTGCGATAAGACCTTTTAAGAGACTTCTTGAATTTGTCAGGAGTTACACTGAAAGAGTGTCAGGGACCTCTGTTATCTGGATGAATGTGAAGTAATCTCTGATGTGAGAATAGTAGCCCAAGTCACTCACTTAACCTGATAAATGTCACCAGAATGCTTTGAGGCTGAGGGGATTAGCCTGACATTTGCAACACAAGGTCTTTTTGATGTTGTACATTGTCTTTCCAAGCTAAAATGGTTTAACTGGATTAATCTGAAAGAAACCCACCAGTTGTTTAGCAAAATAATCACAGACTGCCTGCTCGGCTTCTAAGGGGACTCCATAAAACCACCCCAGGCTCTTAGCAGATTGCTGTTAAACGCCGTCTCTCTGGGACCTGCTCCTGAACATGCATTTTTTTTTTTTTTTTTCTGTTTGCAGAAAGTGCTCGGCACCTGGACCTGCCCTGCAAACGCTCCTACCTGGAAGCCTCCTCTTCTGTAGGAGACGATCACTATTTCCGTTCCCCACCTCCGTACGATCAGCAGATGCTGAGCCCTTCCTATTGCAGCGAGGTGACTCCGAGGGAAGCGTGCATGTACTCTAGTTCTGGGGCTGAAATTGCCGGTGTCTCAACGGTTGACGACTTGCCGCCCCCGCCTCCCCCCTTGAGCTGCAATATGTGGACTTCTGTCGCACCTTACACCAGCTACAGTGTTCAGACAATGGAAACTGTCCCTTACCAGCCTTTCCCTGCTCATTTCACTGCCACCACCATGATGCCGCGGCTCCCGTCCATCACGGGTCAAGGCTCGCAGCCACCAGGTAACAGCCACTTCAGTGTCTACAACCAGCTGTCCCAGTCTCAGGTTCGGGAGCGCGTTCCTTCTTCATCTTTCCCGAGGGAAAGGGTGCACCCGTCTGTGTGCGAGAGAAAACCCCCCTCTCCGCACCTAAACGCGGCGAACGAATTCCTGTACTCACAAAGCTTTTCCTTGTCGAGGGAGTCATCGCTGCAGTATCATTCAGGGATGGGGACTGTGGAGAACTGGACTGACGGATGACTCTGACGGCCAAGCGATGCCACAGCCAACGTTACTGCTCCAGGACAGTGTTCAATCAGTGTTGATACCTGTGGGTAACTTGCACTTCGGTGAGACAAATGTGCGTTTCCAGAGGGATTTGTGTGGGTGAGGAGCTTGTATCTTCAGACACACAGAGAATTACATCTCCTGTCTTGGTGGGCTGGATTCATCAGTCTCTTACTGACTCCCAAATAAATTAATTCTCGCGTCTTCATTACTCATCCAGTAGAAACCATCTTCATGACTAACAAGTGAAGTAGCTAGTCATTTTCTTTTGCCTGTAATATTAAACATCCGTGAGCAAATTTTGGCTATTTGGGAAAAATATGAGCTTCACTTTTATGGTACTTGTTTCGTGAAGTCACAGCATCCCAAAACTCAAAGGAAAAAGCGATCTGTTTGGTTGCGTAGTTCCCGGACTGCTGTAGCAGCACTTCTTTAGCTTCTTTTTGTCTGTAGAAATATAACTTCTTCCTCTGGAAGTGACGGAGCCATAGGAGCGCGGGGGCCGGCGGGGAGGCTCGGCGGTGGGGTCAGGGAGCTGCGGTGCCGCTCCGGTACCTCCCCGGCGCAGCGCAGGGTTCGTGCCATGGCGCGGAGAGGAGAAGGCACCGATGCACAAATGTCTCTTCTTCCCCCCACAACACCATCATTCGTGGCTGTGGGAAACTAAGAAGTGAAGCGTTATGCCTGAGGCCAAAGAGCAAATTAATTGCAGCGTTAGGAACAGACCCAGTGTCTTCAGACTCCCATCCGCTGATTGAATCACACTTGCTTATTGCAATATATTTATGAAGTTTTAAGCTTAAAGTCGCTAATACTTTCCAGAAACGATTTCTGTATTTGCTGGTCCTTGATTTCTTTCGCATTCAGCTGAAACGCGCCTTTTGTGCTATGTTTTTTTCTTTCGCAGCTAACTCAGAAAGAATTGTTTTCAGCATAAAGGAGGCATAGAGGAATATTTTCTTAATTGGGGGGTGGGGTGGGAAGAGTTCCCATTACCTGTCAGGCTTTACAGTGTACAAATATTTGTAGAGCAGGTAAAAATCTGTAACCAGTGTATACGTTGCTACTATTGTTTACTGTGGAAGTATCTTGAACTGACTCCTTCAGCGCCGGCTTTGCCTGCTGGTGTCCCTACGAGGTGAGGAGGGGTGCCCCAGCGACAGCCACGGCGTGGAATGGCCTCGCGTGGGAAGGCAAGCTGCGCTCTTTCTGGGACGAAACTCCCGTGGCCTTCACCCGAAAAGCTCCTGAGCTGGGGTGCGTCCTCCTCCGATCCGCAGCGTGTCCATCGCGCCAAGCTCCCAGGCGATGCTGTCCCCGGGGATGGCAACACTGAGGTGATGCTGGGCGTTTGGTCCCACTAAAGAGCGCGGTATTTAAGCTCTAGCCATGCACAGCGGGGTTTTTCCCCCCGCCCCTGCTTCCCAATGGGCAAAGGCAAAAAGCTGAAACAGAAATTCGGCAGTCGGGGGGGGGGTACTTCCGCGTTTTGATGAATCCATCCCAGTGAAGAGAGGCTGATGGATGAGGGCGGCTGCTTGCGGTGAGACAACCCCGAGGCCACTAACGTGGAGGTCACGTTTCAACCAGGACAATCTCATACACCCGTTCAGCAGACTGTGTGTGTGAGCCGTGTGGATTTTGTAATCAGATTTTGGAAATCACTACAATTTTTGCATGCTGAATAGCTATTTATATACATATATATTATATATATATATATATATATATATAAAAATATATATATATCACAAATGCAGGCCACGTGTCCAATTCAGCTTTGCTTTTTACGAATGAAATACTTAATAAAAATGAATGTTGCAAGGTTTTTTTGGAAAGACATCTATTTAAGATTTTTTTTTTATTACACACCTTTGATGTAAAAACTAAGAATTGGTTAGATAAAAAACATATATACTACAGATAAATCTTTATTAGAAACCACATTAGATACAGGTGGTATGGAATTTTTAAATGTTTGTTACATAGCATGGACATTTTATTTTACATATCAGAACATAAAGTCATTTTACTACTATAAGCTGTCTCTGGGTGCATTTCAATAATTAGTATAAAAATGTTCTGTGGTGAATTACTGGATGCCTTGTCTGTCTTCTGTCTCCTACGGTCTGAGTTTACCAATTTCACAGTTTCCCAAGGTGCACTTTTTTTACCATCTCATAGCTACACTGTCAAACTTTAACTTCCCACTGCACAACTAAAGGGAATTTTGTTTTTTTTGTGATATATTGTTTTTTGTTTTTTTTTTTTTTTTTGATGGACACATGAATTGGTTTGAATACACCGAGCACTGCTAGGCTAACTTAAAAGCAGCCACTGGCCTGATAACAAGAGCCCCCAAGTGATGTTCCTGTACTTATGTGCAGATCAGTTACAATGACAATAGTGAAGAAATAAAAGCTGGAGGGGGGTGGAAGAGGTCTGAAGGTGTCACTAAGCGTTATTTGAAATGCTCAGTTCATTTCTCATTGTGACACTGAATCAACACTAAACGAGACAAATGCTGCCACTATAACCTAAAAATTAATGGGGTCAGCAGCCCAGAGTCCAAATGACAAGCTAGGCTGGATCTTTTGCCTGTTTTACAAATATGATTAGCAGAATAACAATGTCACTTTTAATGAATAATCATTGCTTCTATTTTTAGCCATTTTTCACATGCCTTCTGCTCATCAGTGTGATATCTATTGATTTAAGGCAGTTTAAAAAGTAACTCCTAAAAGAATTGTTCCAGCAGCTTTCAGTTAATGCAGGGGATGTAGACGAGGCTTGAACATGTAATTAATCCAAGTTTTAACTTGTGGGCACACAGCAGGCACTGCTGTCAGCCTTTGTAAAGGGCACAGCCGAGGCTCAGTCCCAAGCCAACCACTGGAGCTGAGCAGAGTGCCCTGTGAAACTCTGTGGCAAATAAAAAGCTTTTAGTTATAAAAATAGTCCATGATATTTGCGAGTACAGGGCCTGATTGTAAAAGGCTGAGTTAGCACCGAAATGTGCAAAATTTGGATATATGCTAATCTGGTCATCTGGACTCCTTTTATAGTCAGTGGAGAGAGATCAGACACATAGATTAAAATGGGATGAATCATTCTCTCGTGATGATCTTTTTCCACTCAGAGAGGAATCTAGCTCAGCCGCTTAAACTAGATTTCCCATTTCTAAATGGCTAAAGTTAAGTTAGTGGCATCCCCCTTCTACGTGACATTGATAAAAGCATTTGGACAGCATTAAATAGCACTCATCTTACAAATCATATTTGACCTGAGCACAGAGCCATAGCTAGCATATCCCCAGAGCACATTCTCTGGTTGTATTAATTATGGAATGGAAATATGGTGGTGTGGGGGGTATTTTTTTTTTTTTTTTTTCCCCATTGCAAAATTTCTAACCTGTTTATGTATCCAATCCCAAGAGCCAGCTCATGGGCAAGGCGGGCAGCGCTGGCCTGGCCAGATGAGGCACCCGGGTTCCACTTCATTTCTGCATTTCACATCTGGGGAGGTTTGGCGGTTGCTGAGCGTGCGACTCCCCGTCAGGCACCCAGCACCGTCTGCCTGGCAGCACACTGCCCGGCCCCGGGCACTCAGAAACAGAGAGCACTTGAGGATTTGGTCTGTTTGTTTTGCAAATCAGAAACACTAAACTGCAGACATCATTAAAAAAAAAATCCCAACAACCTGCACAGCATTAAAATAGATCAAGTATGCTTACTGTGTCCGGGTTTGATTTACTACAGTTTAAACAGCTTTTACTTCGCAAGAATGCGGAGAACTTCACGTGTGTGGAGGTTTTTTCTGCTCTAGCTCCGGGTAGATGGCTTGTTGCATCGTAGCAGGGAATGGCAATCCAAGTGCAGAAAAACTAGGTCCACTTCAAATCAGATTAAGGCAAAAATTAGCAAACGAGGGAAACTTTGGATACACATGAGATCTCTTTTCCATTGATGTATTCTAATCTGCACTGAAAGGCTAGGGGATTTTTTGATTCTGTTTTTCTTTAAGGTAGATGTCCAAATTTAATATTGGCGCAAGCAAGCTTAGTTCCACCGGGTCCAACAGCACTTATGCCAGCACTGAGTTTGGACTTCACTCTAAATAGAACAAATATTTGTATCGGCTTGCTGAGTATGTGAGTAATATGAATATTTGCCAAAATTTAAACAAGCTAAATTTAAGTCATGCCAAAAGCCCCACCATTCAATTTGGTATCATTGGCAGCTCACAGGCTCAAGAGAGGCCTAAGTCTGGAAGAGCTGGGGTGTTTTTGGCAAACACTATTTTTTTTTCTTTCTCTCTCCACATTTTGGAAAATTTGTGCCTCTCTGTATTAATTTATGATGTCATTAAATAATTCTTTTTGCAGCTTGTATAGAAAGAATGTTTCTTTTGAAGATGAGAACTCCCCTGAGGATGGTTATAGTGAAAAATTCCAGCAGGAGGAAAAAAACCTCCTCTCTCTTTGGCCACTCATGTTTCTGCAGCGGTGTTTGAACAGCAAAAAAATTTACAATATTTTAATTTAAGGACCTGCTCCAAGGAGGTGCCATGCATTTGACTGTGACAAGAGACAGCCTAAAATCGATGTGATTCGAGGGGTTTTATTGCTGTGATAGTAGGCTGGAAGAGAGATCATAAGTCTGTGACTTGCTGATGGAGAAACTAAGGTTTTGAACTGATTTCCTTTTTACAAAGTGCAGGATCAACATTAAAAATGAAAGAGAAAAAAATATTGGGCACTGTACAACAAAAGCAAAAAGCCTTGTCCAACATGAACTATATTTTAATGTGAAAACACTGTCATGAGAGAAACTGCCCCTTGGGCTCTGCCTATAAAACATTCGCTGTAGGCATTGGCGTTTAGATGGGAGCTTCGTGCTAGGATTCACAGCCACTCCTTGCACCAGCGCGGTGCGGTATAGACCAGCCCGTGTTGCATTTAAACCGAAGTGAAATTTAAAATTGAACTTGGCAGGGGCTGCTCAACGCCCTTGAGAACCTGCTTGGGTAACGGCAAGGGAAGTTAATGCCCTTGGAACTTTGTGCCACGGTGCTGGGTGATTACGGCCGCCAAGCAAGCCTGCATGCCTGTCTTCTGTCAGAAAGACCATTATCCCAGTCACGACCAGCAAACGTACCTGTGTGACTACCTCTGAGACTCACTTTTCAAACGTCACAGTGGATTCACACAGCGCGTGCAGCAAGGCTCCTCCAGGCTGAAAATTGCACTCCTGAGCCTGAGCCCACCTATGGAACCGGGTCCAGAGAGAAAGAAATAAAAAAGTGTAAGAATTGGTGCAAAGGGTTGATAATGCTAGTTCAATTAAAATCAGGATCATTTTGGTTTCTGTTAATTTGAAACTTGTTTAACAAAAGAAAAGCACACCCCACTGTTATGAAAACAGGAGGAATAGCTACAATAGGTCAACAGGCTTTTGTTCCACAGAAAAATACGGACGGGTGAGAGGCTTGAATGAGTAGTCTGCAAATGCCAATATCTCTCATCTGTTTTTTTTGTTGCTGTTTTCCTTAGTTTTCAGCAAACACTAGTTTTTGGCTTTCAGCTGTACATTGTTACAGTGTCAATTAATATTTTCACTGGGGTTATATTTACAACTAGAAGTTGTTTTTTTAAAAAAAAAGAGAATTATGTGGAATGTTGGCACTGTCTACTTGGACACTAATGATTTTAAGAATTCTGAAAGACAAAATTTGACAAATGTAGCTTCTAGTTGGGAGGTTCACACTGATATCAGGAAACTGGGCCAATTTGTATACTAAGCCTTTGACGCTGCCAGCAGGAATGGATGCACCGTTTAACAAGTATTTACTAGAGAACAACATGTGCAGAGAACAATATGCACAAAACTACTATTTCTCTTTAACAGCCTTTATCTTACGTAAGGCAGACAACACTGTGTGCTGCAGTACAAGTACAGAGTTCAGCAGAGATGAATAACAATATTTTTGTGTTTTTGTGCCAAAATAATAAGGCTCTGTCCTATTTCTGTTGAAGTCAATAGGAAAACTTTTATAGACTTCGGTATAGCAAGACCAGACCTCTAATCTTCTTTTCAACAAGCCCTTAAGTTTAGCTGCAAGCCTTGGCTGTGCAGTGTAGTTTAGGTCTGAGGCACAGTGTATTTGAGTTTGATGGATGACACAGCCACACTCTGCAAATTATAGTTTATTCATGCCCAGTGCATCTGAGCAGCTACTGAGAGAATAATAGAATTTTGAATCTAATACATTGTACTGTATTTAATATCAGTTGTGAATCTAACACACAAGTGGATAGCTCAAAACATAAGAAGAATAAGACTCAAACCATTGACTATCCCCACTAAATCCAAGCACTCGTTTAAGCCTGAAACTTTAGAGTAGATTGCCCTGGACATGAGGAATCAATCATGAGACATCCTGGAAAGGTGATGAACTTACTTTGTGCATCAAAAGTAATATGAAACAGTCAGCACACAATGGATACCTAGACTGAAAGCAAAGGTGATGGCTACTGAGCTGCTACGTGCAGTACAAAAATGGAAGTGGGGATAGGTAATCAATTCAATTTACAGTAAAAAATAAAAGTAGCCACAATATCTCGCCTGATTAGACATCTTTGG